ATATTTCATTGTATGGACACATCACGTTTTGTTTATCCATTTATCTGTCAGTGTGGGGTTGTTTCTACCTTTTGGCCATTGTAAATGATGCTACTATGAACCTGGGTGGACCAATATCTGTCTGAGTCCCTGCTTTTAATTCTTTTGGGTTTATACCTAGAAGTAGAATTGCTGGATCATATAGAAATTCTATGTTTCCATACTACTGTTTTCCACAGTGGCTGTACCATTTTACATTCCCACAAGGAATGCACAAGGGTTCCTATTTCTCCACATCCTTGCCAACACTTGTTATTTTCCTTTTTTTCTTTTTTTAAATAATGGCCATTTTAATGAGCATGAAGTGCTATCTGATCGTGCTTCTGATTTGCATTTCCCTAATGAACATGTTTTCATGGGCTTATTGGCCATTTGTGTATTTTCTTTGAAGAAATGTCTACTCAAGTCTTTTGCCCATTTTTGAATTAGGTTGTTTGTTATTTCGTTGTTGTTATTTTATATTCTGGATATTAATCCCCTATCAGATGTATGATTTGATGTATATTTCCTCCCGTTCTGTGGGTTGTCTTTTCACTCTCTTGATGCTGTCTTTTGATGAACAAAGTTTTTAAATTTAATTAAGTCCAATTGCTCTGTTTTGTTGTTGTTGCCAAAGCTTTTGATGTCATACTTAAGAAACCATTGCCAAATCCAAGGTCACAAAGACTTTACCCAATGCTTTCTTCTAAGAATTTTATAGTTTTAGCATTTAATTTGGGTCTTTGATCTTAATTTTTGTACATGTATAAGGGAAGGGTCCAACTCTATTCTTTTACACATGGGTATCCAGTTTTCTCAGCACCATCTGCTGAAAAGAAAAAGTCATCCTATCCCCAATTGAATAGTCTTGGCATTCTGGTTGAGAGAAAAAATTGACCTTATATGTAAGAGTTTAGTTCTGAACTCTATTCTATTCCATTGGTCTATATGTCTGTCTGTATGCCAATACCACATCGTTTTGATTTCTGAAGCCTTGTGGTAAGTTTTGAAATCAGGAAGTGTGAGTCTTCCCACTTTGTTCTTCCTTTTCAAGATTGTTCTGGTTATTCTGGGTTCCTTGAAATTCCATATGCATTTTAGGTTAGAATTTTTTTTTCTCCAAAAACCTCCCTGCAAAAACCTACCATTGGGATTCTGATAGAGATTGCATTAAATCTATAAATCTCTTTGGGTAGTATTGTCATATTCACAATATTAAGTCTTTGAAACCATGAACATAGGATGTCTTTCTATTTATTTGAGACTTGTGTAATTTCTTTCAGCAGCGTTTTTTTTTTGTTTTTTGGTTTTTTTTTTTTTCATCGTATAAGTCTTTCACCTCCTTGGTTAAATTTATTCCTAATTATTTTATTCTTTTTGATGCTATTGTAAATAGAATTGTCTTCTGAATTTCTTTTTTAGATTATTCATTGCTAGTGTTTAGAATTACAACAGATTTTTGTGCGTTGCTTGTAGTTATATTACTATAAAATGATACAAAATCCTAATTACATGAAGTTCAAAAAGTGGCAAAGGTAATCAATGGTGTTGGAACCAGAACAGTGGTTTCCTTGGGGGACGGGGGATAGTGGTTGGGACGGGGTGCAAGGGGGGGAGACTGGAAAGATCTATATCTTGACTTGTGTTGGTTACATAAGTGTGTTCACACCGTAGAAATTCATGGAGCTTTGGACTAATGATCTGTGTGCCTTTCTGTGTCTTTATCACATTTCTATAAAGAGTAAAAAAAAAAAAAAAAATCCAGAGAGAACATGTCATGAATTTGAAGCTGGGAACCTCTTTTTTCCCTCTCATCCTATCCCCCAGAGGTAACCATGGATACAAATTGGGCAGTGTCTCCATCTAGAGTTATAAATATATTTACTGAGATGTATCTACTATCCTACACTTTGCGTTTTTCACCTAACAGTGTATTTTGGAGGGTGTTTCATGTAAGAACAGGAAGAGCTGCCTCCAATCTTTATCAGCTACGTCATATTGCATTTGGGGCCATACCAGACCCAATTTAACCAGCTGCCCTTGACGGTTTCCACCTTTGCTGCTTGAACAGGGTAGCAATGGCTGTCTTCCTTCCAGTGTCTGTTTCGCACCTGTGCGACTATTACAAAGAAATACATTCCTAGAAGTGGGGTTTCTGAGTTCAAGGATATAAGCATTTTTTTTTCCTTTGAAAACACCTCCATATGTAACCGAGTGCATTAGATGAGATGAGAAGAAAATGTAGGGATGTATTGGTTTTGTTTTCCAACTCCAGGCCTCTGGGATATTGTAAACTGCAGGATGATGTCTGTGGTCCAGGTTGGGGCTAGATCTCAGCACATGTGCCCCCTGCTCCAGGAAGCTCCTTGACTCCTAGAGAAGGTCAGGTCCCCTCAGGCTCCTCCAAGTCCCCTGAGCTCCTATGCTCTAGCCCCAACCACTCTGGTTAATAGACATGTCTGTCCCACTGGACTGTCAGTCCCCAAAGGGCAGTGCCAAGGCTGTTAAGGTCACCACAGTATCCCCAGCACTGCCTTGCACAAGGTTGGCATAGAGCATGAACCTGGATGGATGAATGGATGAAAAGAATACACTTACAGGAATAGAGAATGTAGGGAGGGATATGGGCGCTCCAATGAGGTGGAGGTTGCAGAAGGCCTGGGGCTGAGGCTCTGGGGCAGGTCGGAGGTCGGAGGTCGGTATGTTCTCTCCTTGACCCTCCCCCTTCTGTGACAGCGAGGCCCAGGCTCGTCTCCTCAGACTTGCTCAGCTGCTTGGATCCAGCCTGCGGGTGAAGGGACCGAAGGACTTTGCTGGGCAGACGTTGGACACCCTAAGTCTCTCCCTCCATACCTCTGGGGACCTCTTCCACCATCCAGGTGCTTTGTTATGGCA